GTCTCACATTGGAGATTCTGGCAGAAGGAATGCGGGCTTGGTTTCCCTGGGTTTTCGTTTCACTTGGCTACTTGGTGTAGCAGGACCCTTCCCAGTGCTCTCCCTCCTCCCTCCTCTTCCCCCTCTTCTCCTTCCTCCCTCCTTCCTCCTCTTTCCCCCCTCCTCCCTCCTCTTCCCCCTCTTCTCCTTCCTCCCTCCTTCCTCCCCTCTCCCCCCTCCTTCCTCCTCTTCCCTCCCTCTTCTTTCCTCCTTGAGCCATGAAACAGTTGTTGAGCAACTACAGCATAGAAGGCGTGGGAATAAAAAGGGAGGCGGTCAGCCATGTCCACAGCCCACTGGGGAAGCAAGCAGACTGGCATGGAGACCAAGCTGCGGACCATGTCTGTGGTATCTGATGTTAGGGGTAAATCTTGGCTCTAGCTTATTAATGATGAAGTAATTACTGTTATTCCACAGGTGGTTGTGTGTGTGTGTGTTTGCCAGTCCTGGGGCTTGAACTCAGGACCTGGGCATTGTCCCAGAGCTTCTTTTGCTCAAAGCTAGCACTCTACCATTTGAGCCACAGCTCCACTTCCGGCTTTTTCTGTGTATGTGGTGCTCTGGAATTGAACCCAGGGCTAGCCCTCTACCACTGAGCCCCCTTCCCAGCCCCTCCACAGCTTTTGAATATGCTGCAGTCTTTCACAATATTTCCACGCAGGGCTACAGTGGCGGGCATGGAAGCAGGAGGCTGGGGGGCACGTGGGGGGACTTCGGAGAGCCTCTGCCTGTCTCCGGCAGCAGGGCAGCAGCTCCTGCCACTGGGAAGGGAGGGACTTCCCTGACACCCCTTGGAATGCAGCCATTGTTTTCTCCAGGGGTCCACATGGAGGACAGCCCCCCTCCCCCTTCAGGCTCAGGACTGGTAAGGCTGGGTCTCTTCTAACGTCAGGAAGAGTGAACTGCAAATCAAGGCTGGCTTCAGACCTCTCTGGATTCCGGCCAGATTTGATTCGATGTGGAGACACTCAGGGAGACGAGCATTTCGGAGCCCGCGAGGGTCCTGCTGCAGCAGGCCTGCACAGTGGCATCCTGGGAGCTGGGCTCTGGCTCCGGTTCCTCTTTGTTCTGAGACTTGGGGTCCTGTGCCCCGTTTCCAAAAAGGAAACCAGACGGTGTCAAAACTATCTTGGTTACGACTCCTGATCCTGAAAGTATGGGCAGACAGACATCTGTTAGATGTCTGGGGTTGTGATGTGGCAAAACAGCAACAACAACAGCAACAAAGAGACCAGGCAGGTGTAACGCCAGCTACTCAGGAGACTGAGATCTGAGGATCACGGTTCAAAGCCAGCCCGGGCAGGAAAGTCTGTGAGACTCTTATCCCCAGTGAACCACCAAAACCCAGAAGTGAAGCTGTGTCTTGAGCGGTAGAGCACTAGCAAAAAACACCAAGGGACAGCACCCAGGCTTTGAGTTCAAGTCCTAGTATTGGTACACGTGTGTGCACGCGCACACACACAGCACACACATGCACACGTGCATGTGCACAGGCTCAGAGGAGCCAAGTTCTAGTGTTGGGAATGAATAAGAAGGAAGCAGAGGAAGCTGGTGGCTGGCGGGGTGGGGAGGTGGGCTGTGGCTCACACGCTGTTATCCGCCGGGAGAGTCAGGCCTCCACCCTCCTTCTGTTTCAGCTGGCCTGTTGTAGGTTAGGACAAGTCATTGCCAGTGTCCCATTTCCCCTTGAGAGCTCAAACGTGGATCACTGGGTCTCAAATCACCCTTCATGCTGTTTAGTCAGAACTCATTGAACACTTGCTGGGGTGATTGTCCTGAAAAGATCTAGAAATGACTCAGTGATTTGCATTCAGGGCAGAGACACAATCTGGTGAGACTAGAGGCATGCCTCTGTGGCGTTTCCATACTCAGCCCCTGCTTACCGGTCTCCAAGCCAGTACTGGATCTACTGGCCCCACCACCCTGGACCGGTGAACTCCAACTCTGTGCTTTGGTCTCCTTTGCCAGAGGGGGTTCAGGGGGCTTGTTATCTATCTTATTGGATCGGATCAGCACATAATAAATGTTCAATAACCAGTGGTCACTGCCAGCCTTTTCTTTTCCCAAGTGGGAGAGACATTTTCCGTAATGACCAAATGCAGAGAGAGAATTTGAAAAGCAGTTTATTTTTGCTTTCCTTGGTCTATTAACCAGAAAACTTCATTAGCCATTCCAGACTGTGATTTCAAGTAAAGATCCACCCACAGAATATCACTCTGTATGTAGAAAACTTTATTCCTCTTTTTTATAATTTTTATTTATTTGTTTATTTTGCCAATTCTGGGGCTTGAACTCAGGGCCTGAGCACTGTCCCTGAGCCCCTCTGTGCTGAAGGCTAGTGCTCTACCACTTGAGCCACAGCACCATTTCTGGCTTTTTCTGTGTATGTGGTACTGAGGAACTGACCCCAGAGCTTCATGCATGCTAGGCAAGCACTCTACCACTGAGCCACCTTCCCAGCCCTTAAAAAAGTATCTTAAAGGGTAGCTTAATCTATTTTAAATGTTTACCTGGGGGTGTGGCTCAGGTAGTCTATGGCTGCCTAGGCAGTAGGGGGCCCTGAGTTTAAAAAAAAGTGCTGCCAAAGTAATCCATGCTTTTCTTTCATCATAAATAAGTGAAGACTCTTCTGGTGTCAGGGCCTGGACAAAATGGGATGGCAGCTCTCAGCTTTCTTTGCTTCTCTGCGGTCACATAAAAGCCAGAATGTGGCATCTGCTCCGTTAGAGGTGGCACTTGCTTCCTGGGCTAAAGTGGCACAGAACTTAAGAGAGATGTGTGTGTGTGTGTGTGTGTGTGTGTGTGTGTGTGCATCCCTTCAGCCCTTGGTTTTGCACTATTGCTAGGAGGGGTCCCTGAGTGATGTGATAGACAGGCTTATATTATTATTGCTATTAATGAATGGAGCCTAGGGAAGGTAGGGGTTGCTCAGCCTGCACACGTTCCTGCCAGAGTCCCTGCCAGCTGTGGAGGGAGCAGCTGTGTTTCTCAACCCTATGGGGAGGAGGTCAGGGTCTGGAGGAAGCAGTGGTGCAGGAAGTAAACTTCAGGCATGGCTGGTTCCAGCAGCTCTGGGCTGAGACTCACCTGGCCTTTCCTTTGATACCTGTTTTTGTTTTTGTTGTTGGTCGTGGGGCTTGAACTCTGGGCCTGGGCACTGTCCCTCAGCTCTTCAGCTCAAGGCCAGTGCTCTACCACTTGAGCCACAGCGCCACTTCCAGTTTTCTGGTAGTTCATTGGAGATAAGAGTCCCACAGACTTTCCTGCCCAGGCTGGCTTTGAACTGCGATCCTCAGATCTCAGCCTCCTGAGTAGCTAGGATTACAGGTGTGAGCCACCAACACCCAGCTTGATACCTGTTGTTATGCAGCGTGACCCCTGTCTCAAAGTCTTCCTAGCACTGGGCCATAGGGTCATCAGATTATTCTAGAAAGCCTTGTCAGCTGACCTCTATAGCTCTCTGCCTGCCGTATGGTGAGGCTCAGCTCCTCCATCAGAGGCAGTTTCCTTCTGCGCTCGGAGCTGGAGGCTGGAGGCTGGAGGCACAGGCTCCGGCAGGGAGCTCCGAGAGGCAAAGCGAGGTGGTGAATCTGGGAGCAGGAGGGGAGTCAGGCTCTGCAGGCGCGTGCGTGCACGTGCACATGTGTGTGTGTCTGTGTGTATCTGCGTGTATCTTTGTGTGTGTATGTGTTTATGTGTTCACGTGTGTATGTGTGTGTGTCCATGTGTATATAGGTGGGTATATTTGTGTATGTGTGTGTCCGTGTGTGTATATGTGTGTATGTGTGTGTGTGTGTGTCTGTGTGTATCTGCGTGTATGTGTTTATGTGTTCACGTGTGTGTATGTGTGTGTATGTGTGTCCATGTGTATATAGGTGGGTATATTTGTGCATGTGTGTGTGTGTGTGTCCATGTGTATATAGGTGGGTATATTTGTGTATGTGTGTCCGTGTGTGTATACGTGTGCATGTGTGTATGTGTGTGTGCGTGTGTGTATGTGTGTGTGCGTGTGTGTGTGCGTGTGTGTGTGATCGCAGCTGGGACCTCTGTGCTCTCAGAGCGGTCAGGCCCTGCCTGCAGTGCTTTGCATCACGTACCTGCTCTCATGATGGCTGGCCTGGCACCCCAGAAAAGCAACCCTGGGGTCCCCCCAAGGTCCTCTAGGAAGGGGGCGAGCTAGCTCCTAACTGGGCTTCTTACCAATGCTGAGAAAGCCAAGCTGCCAGGCACGCTTCGCTTTCCCTCTCAGCTCTCATTTTTTTCTCTTTTACAAAGTGGGGGGGCCCATCGCTCCCGGGCGGAATGGACATGGCCACTATTTTGTGATCTACTCCAACTCTCGGTTCTCAAGGAAGTCCCTCCTCCCTTGCCTGCGTGTGAGTTTTACAGGGGTGCAGGGATGCTCTGGGCTGGGGGTAGCCCGGGCATCGTTTGCCTGGCCAGGCTGACCTTCGATTTTCCCATCATGCACTGGGGTGGCCACTGCTGATGACACGTAGCCACACTGAGCTTGTCATCTTGGCTACCCGGCCTCCAAACCCTGTGAACTCCTCACAGGCTCCCACTGAGACGAGCATCAGCCGAGGACACGGAAGCTACCGCCGTCTAGCTCACAGACAGCCCTTTGCCCAGCGCCGAGTCTCGTTATCCTGTACACAGCCCGCGGCCAAACTCCCCTTTATTGAGCAGGTGTTCTGACCACATAAATACGTAGAATAAATACAAAACAGCAAGGTGGGTCTTGAAAGTCTTTGGTATACGCTGCGTTCTCCTCTCCTCCTCTCCCTCCTGCCCGGGCCACGTTTTCTCACGTGCATAGTATTTCTTTGGACTCACGAACAGCCCAGCAGTAAACAGAGCCTCTGTGCTAGTGAGCGTCTAGGGGAGAGTGTGTGCATGTGTGTGTGTGTGGGGGGGTGTCCAGCAGCCCAGAGGGCCTCCTGAAAGGGTCAGGCCCCAGGGGTCACTCACACGTAGTCGTTCAGCCTGTACCCGCTGTGGGACGCCGAGGCCACGGAGGGGGCGCGGTTGTCCTTGTAGGCGGCCGGGGGGTGGTAGGCGGGCGCCGCGGTGGTGGCGGGCCTGGGCGGGCCTCGGTACGGCCTGTAGGGGGCGTCTTCCTGGCAGGCCAGACAGAGCAGGGTGCCCCCGATGAGCGAGAGGGACGAGGCGATGAAACCCAGGTAGAGGGCCTGGCCGATCTCGAACTTCATGCCGCTGGGCAGCAGGGGGTTGTAGAAATTCTGCACCACGTCATGGGTGGTCCAGGCCACGGCCACCATGCAGAGCAGGCCGGCCAGCAGGAAGAGGCCGCCCCCCAGCGCGGCGAACGCAGCCTTGGCCGGCGAGCCCTTGGCACAGCGTGTGCACTTCATGCCCACCACGGCGCAGGCGCAGGCCAGGCCGGACAGCAGGCACGAGATGACCATGAGGGCCCGGGCCGCCTGCAGGTCTCGAGGCAGCGCCAGCAGCGAGCGGTAGATCTGGCACTGGTAGATGCCCGTACTGTGCCACACACACTCCATCCACAGCCCTTTCAGGTAGGACACGGCCGTCAGGATGTTGGTGCCCACGTGCGCCGTCCTCCGCCAGTGTGGCAGGATGGTGGTAATGAGCGTGCCCACCAGGCCCAGGAAGCTGAGCAGGAAGCCCAGGAGCTGCACGGCCGAGCTGGCCATGCCGGGGTGGAGGTGGGGGGGCACTAACCGGGCCTGGCCGTCCCCTGGTACCCCGGAATCACAGCGCTGCTCCTCCAACAACCGCCAAGGTCCTAATAAAGCCAAGAGGGGCGGGAGAGAGAGGACGCGGGTTAAACATTATCTCGGTGCTTTTCTTTCTGGCTTTTGCACAGTTGCCTGGAAAGAGCATTAACATAGTCTGGAAAATCGCTCCTGAGGATTGACCGGGGGGGGGGGGAGGGGGGCGGGGGGGTGAGCTGCTTTCCCTGGAAGGGCAGAGCTGGGCTGGGGGAGGGGAGGGGTGCACAGTAGATCTCAGTGGCCTTCACATTCTGGGGACCTCAGGGAAGGATACCGCAGAGCCCCAGTTTCTGGCTTCTTCTGGCACTTACTCATGGGAGTCCTAGGTGGGAAGTTCTACCTTCTGTCTATCCTCAAGGACTTTGGTTACAGGGCAATCTCCCTGCCTTCCGTCTGGTCTGGTCTGTAATCACCAGGAACAGTTGTTCTAGACTGTGACACCCTTGAAACAGCCTTGAGTGCCTGTCAGGGGGCAGCTGCCCCCCCCCCGTCCCTCCCCAGTCCCCTCCCTCCGGTCCCCCCCTTCAGCTTGGAGACAGCGCTGCCCCAGACAGAGACCCTGCCTGAAGGTGGAGATGGGACTTCAGGTTTCAAACACAGCCAAAGCCCCGCACAGGGGACAGAGCACCTGGGGGAGGTGCGTGGAATAGAATGCTGGGGGGAGGAGGGAGGGGAGGGGAGGGAGGGGAGGGGAGGGGAGGAAATGGAGGGGAAAGGAAAGGGCAAAGTGTTTTAACTACCCATACCTTCTCACCCCCCAGCTCTCCCTGTTTAATGGGGCAGGGGTCAATGTCTGCACCCCTGAAGGTGGCGGAAGGTGGTGACGGAGGAGCTAAGATGGCTGGCGTCGTCCTGCGGGGCCCAGCTCATCTCTACTACTGCTGCGCCTGCCTGAATTCACACGCTAGCTCCCAGACCAGACACTGGCTTCCATTCTCATCCTCTCCTTCCTTCCTTCCTTCCTTCCTTCCTTCCTTCCTTCCTTCCTTCCTTCCTTCCTTCCTTCCTCCATCTCCCCTTTTTATTTGTTGGTTATGAGGCTTGAACTCAGGGCCTGGGCGCTGTCCTGCGCTTTTGTGCTCCAGGTTAGCGCTCTACTCCTTGATGCACAGCTCCACTTCTGGCTTTTTGGTGGTTCACTGGAGCTAAGAGTCTC